TCTCCACCGGAGCTGACCACGCCCGGCCTCGGTGAGAGGCAAACGGGCTTGAGCACCCCCGGCTGGAGCGCCAGGAGAGGGGCAGGGGGCCCAGGGCTCACCAGAGTGACCAGAGGGGGCATGTCTTAAAGCCAGAAAGAATCAGCACTGCGTCGCGGGCTGCTGTACCCAGGCTGGAGCTGGTAGCTGAGTGCAGGTGTTGCGGGCACACAGACCCGACCCCAGCCAGCCCAGGCTGACCCGGAAGCACCTTTCCCGCACACCTGGTGCTCTCCCTCGCTGAAGCGCCCTCACCTGGGGAGTCACGGAGGAACTCTGATTGGGCCCTGAGCCTTCCCACGGTCTCCCCTGCGTGTCCCGGAACAGCTTCCGTAAGTTCTTGCAGACACCAGGCTGCGTCCCGCAAGAGCGCGATATGCCAGACTGCCATGGGGCGACCCGAAGCCATGACTCCGAGGTGGGGAGCCCCGGAGCCCCCCGCAGCCCGGCCCTGCTCTGCCCTCGCACGGCTGCTCCTCCTGCGGGGAGACCACCCCTGCTCTTCAGCAAGCTTCTCCTTGGGCGCCGAAACCCGGCTGTCACCTCTTCTGAGAGGCCTTCCTTGCTTTCCGAGCCGGCACTCTGCCAGCCCCACCCCGCCCCCACGCCCACTATCTCGTCTGTCATTCCTCCCCATACAAACCCGCCTCCCATCCCTGGGCTGGGAGCCCCCAGGGCAGCATCTAACCCTGGGCTGCCAGGAGGCTGCGGCCAGGAGAAGGAAGAGCAGCGCCTGCCAGCGGGAGCCATTATGCAAACGCAAGGTACTGATTATCGGAGCAATTTAAAAAGCAGCCTCTTCTTTGAGGCTTATTTTGCTTGATAAAGCATTTTTAAGTGGCGATATTTCGTGTTAATTTTTTCCACCAGCTGCTCCTATTATTTGATCATCCATCGTTCGGCGCTCTCAAAGCAAGCGCAGAGCACTCGAGAAAATGACTTCAGTCTGGTGTGACTCGTTCCCGCAGGACGACTGCGCTCCCGCTCCCGGAAGGACGCTCTGGACCCGTGTCTGTGCTGCCCGGTCCAGGGGCCACGGGCCACACGTGGCTGTAGAGCTCGTGCAGACTGTGGGCCCAGACATGGGACTTTGTGCTGCAGAGAAAGAACGTGCTGCCTCAGTGCCAACCTGCGACACCGGTCACACGTTAAACTAGAGAATATTTAGGATACACTGGGTTAAATAAAAAACGTTCCTAAAATTAATTTGTTTCTTATTTTTTTTTTTCTTAAAGACAGAGTCTCTCTCTGTCACCCAGGCTGGAGTGCAGTGGCACAATCATAGTTCACTGTAGTCTCCAACTTCTGAGCTCAAGCCATCCTCCTGCCTCAGCCTCCTGAGTAGCTGGGACTACAGGTACGTACCACCAGCCTGGCTAACTTTTTGAAGTTTTTTTGTAGAGACGGGGTCTCGCTATATTGCCCAGGCTGGTCTCAAACTCCTGGCCTCCATCGATCCTCCCACCTTGGCCTCCCACAGTGCTGGGTTTACAGGCATGAGCCACTGCACCTTGTAGAGGACACCTGTGCCTGGGAACGATTCCTTGTTGTTCTTCTCAAGAACATTTCTGTGGCCTTGCACGCCAGTCCAGGGCACCCTAACCCTGCAAACAGGAGGGGCTAGAGAGTTTAGATGCAAACATCTGCTCGCCGGAGACGAAACAACAAGGAACAGGGACGTGTTGAGTCGGGACGGTGTGGGAACAAAGAAATTGCGGTGGGGCAGTTGCCAAACAGACTATATTATAAATAAAGCAGCTCCAGCAAAAGTCTTTTGCTGCAGCCTCATACTGTCTTGTGGTGTCTGTGTCTTTTTGTACGGGCTGCAGCCATGTGTCTGCGTCTTTATGTCTCTGTGTTCATTCCTCGGTCTGAAGTCGGGCCACGTCAGCACCTGGCCTCTATTTTTTGATGAGGCTACTAGGAAATTTACACATGGCTCGTGTTTGATTTCTATTGGGCGGCACAGCCAAGGCCACTTGGCGCCTGGGGAGAAAAGCCACATTCCTGGTTGAACAGGAGACAGGAACCACTGTGCCATCCCTGAGCGCCGTGGCGTGCCCGCTGGGCGCCCTGTGGCTCCCTCCCACTACCCTCGACGTCACTGTCAGTCTCCGTAGTCCCATGAGGCAGGTGCCAATGCTGCACGTCACACAGAAGGAAACCCAGGCGCAGGTTGGTGAACAACTAGCCAGAGGCCACACAGTTAGGTGGCGGCAGCGCTCAGGCTCGTTCCAGGTGACGATCTCGCTGCCCTGGGAGGACGGCATGGCCAGGCAGGACAGACTTTCCTGGGACCAGCTGGGCACAGCCCTCGAGCCGCGATGAAAGTGGAGCTGGGGCCGCCGAGCCCTCAATGACCCACCGGTGTGACACTGGGGGCCGCGAACCGCCCCCGAGGCATATCCTGAACGGCTCCCACGTGGGAGACCCTCGGCCCTCGCCAGGGATGCGAGAGGCAGCCTGTGCTTGCCGCTCCTGGAACCCTACCACGCTGCCCTGACCTGCCTGCTAGCTGTGCCCTGCCCGGGGACACGGGCCCTGGGAGGCAGGGGTGCGGCTCCTTCACCTCAACGTTCCAGCGCTCGGCCCCGGGCTTGAGACACACAAAGTGCTTAGTAACCGGCTGACGACCGAGTGAATGAGTGGACAAAAGCAGACACGAGGCACGTGCACGCCGTGGTCCCTCACTGGTCTCCTAACACTGGACAGGGGCCCTGGGGAGACAGCGACGCCTGGGAACTCCCCGCACAGCTGCAGCGTGCGGGGCCTGGGGGGCTGGGGGATCTCTCAGACATGCGAGGTGGCATCGCCGTGGGCCCAAAGGAAAGAACTGGTCTGTTCTGTTGCAAACGTCCCCTCCTGAGCCCCCACCCGCACCCCGGCCACTCCCTGGCTTCTGGTCTAGGCTGTTGCCCCAGCTCCAGCCTTGAAAATCCACAGTTCTCTCCCCAAGCAGAGCCCAGGTAAGAAACGGCCTTTCTGTTTGTGTCTTGCAAATCGCCCTAATGGCTGAACAGCCCCCCCAGGTCCACAGAGGCAGGGCGACGGGAGAGCCTGCTTGCAGTGAGAGTAGAAGGGAAAACACAAAAGCATGAAAAATTTATTAGCCTGGAGCCACTGGGGCCAAACTGCAAGATAAAGATTCAAATTCGCTCCCCATCCCTGCATTTATGACCTGCGTTTGCAGCAACTGAGGCCGACGGGAACTCACCGGCTCCCCGAGATCGCTGGCCTGTGCGAAGCCACGCGCCCGCCAGGCTCCTGCCTGGGAGGAGTCTCACGCCAGGCCCTGGCTGCACGAGGCCGAGCCTGTGGATGTTTCTGGGGGACGCAGAGCGCCGGCCTCAGCCCGGTGATTTAGGAGAAACAGCAGGCGGGAAGCTTGGCCCCCACACTGGCCCGAGGGCCACCAGCGCTGCACGGTGAGCGGTTAGGGCACAGACCTGGGGTACAATCACGGCTCTGCCACTGACCAGCTGAGACGTGGGCCAGGGGTGTCTCCTCTCTGGGCCTCAGTTTCCTTATCTGTAAACCAAGGACAACCACAGAGTAGACCTCACAGAGCAACTATGGGGGGAGGGCGGCCACGAGGTGAAGTCCCAGCAGTGCCCAGCCCCACGAAGGCACGTGAGACGCTCGCCATGGCTGTGCTGTTACTCGGGTGCTGCCGTTCCACCTCTTGCGCGAGGCGTGGGACCCGGGCGGGAGGGACATGAAGAAGACACATCGTCTGACCCTCTGTCTGCGGGAGACATTCAACCCACAATCATAGCGTACCCCTTGGACAGCCGGAAGGCCCGACAGGGGTGTGCGCGCTGGGGGTGCCAGCCGGGCCAGGGCACAGGAGGCTTCCAGAGCGGGAGGCACTTGGCCTGCACTGGGCAGGTGAGAGGGTTTCCCAGGCGGAGAATGCTGGGCAGGGACGGAGGGAGGCAGCTGCAGCCCTGAGCTCAGCGAGCAAGGTGGCTGCAGACTCGGCCCAGGGCTGGGTCCTCGCCTTGGGGACCTCCCTCTGCTGCACGACCAGCAGACCCCTGAGCAATCTGAGCCTCAGTTTCCTCGCCCCTTACAGGGTGAAGCGGGCAGCCCTGCTCAGCCTCAGGAGGCCCCGTTTGCTGGGGTGGCCGGAGCCTTTTGTTGGAACGTTCCAAGTCCCTCTCTGACTCCCGAGACTGGTCAGGGTGGCAGCGGCATCAAGGGGCACTCTAAGCCCTGGGTCCGTCCGGCCCCTTTGCTGATTTTTGGATGACTTAAATTGTTTATGTAGGCAGGGATCTTGCAGAAAGCATTTTCCTGGGCCCCACACCCCAGAGGCAACCCGGGAGTGAGTGTGAGCGACAAGGCTGGCAACGTTCCTGGCAGATGCCTCAAACACAGCAGGCGCTCAATAAATGCCCTTATGCGTATTCTTATTGTGATTCTCATTCTCAGCCTGTGCTCTAAGATGAAGGGAAAGATACACAGCAAGAGTCTTCCCAGAAGGACACGCACTTTATCTAGGACAAAGAAACCTGCTGCCTCAAGCAGGAGCAGCCGCCCGGCAGCCGGACACCCAGGCCGCCACCCCTCCCCATGCCACTTGCCCAGCCCCCAGCAGCGGGCCACGCAACCCCACCCTGGCCACAGCTGGCCCCAAAGGCCAGGCCTGGGCAGCGTGCGTCCTTGCGGGGAAGGAAGGAGGCGCAGCACAACACCTGGGGCCCCGAGACAACCCGGACCCCACAGACCCCTCTGCTCTCGGCCTGTGCTCCAGGGTCTCTGCTTCCGGAAACGCCAGCTCCAGCCCTCGCCCACGCAGCCTCCGCGGCCAGGCTTGGGGCTCTGACCCCACCGCACCTGAGCGACCCCATCCCCAGCGCCAGTGTGGCCACCGACTTTTCTCCTGACTCCTGGACACCCACAAGAAACTTCTCCCCTCCTCCTTCCCTCCCCTCCCTCTGCCTCCCCCCGCGCCTTACTCGGCCAGCTCCTCCAGGCTGCGGTAGACGTCATCGTCATTCTCGGTGGTCTCCTCCGAGGGAAAAGGCCTGTGGGAGAGAGAGAGGGAGGTGAGCGGTCCCGCGGCACTGCCACCCTCGTGGGGCCCCGCTGGGACCCGCCACAGAGCCCTGCAGGAGCAGACGGGCTGTCGTCTGCTCTCTCGAAGGAAACAGGTGCGGGTGCCTGAGACGGGGACCCAGCCAGCTCGCCCCGGGCAGGGACGTTGCTCCCGCTCTGGGCCCAGGGATGTGGAAAGCTTTCTGTCCACTGACAGCTCTGCCTTCACCTTCCACTTTGGGGGACTCTGGAAACAAGGATGGGGGCTCCCTGGGCAGCTGGTGGTGGGGCGCAGGGAGAAGGCTGCCAGCTCCAGTCACTGCAGGGGACGAGAAGGAGGGCGTCCGGAGGAAAGGACGGCTTCTGGGATGTTGAGGTAGGGGCCCACAGCGGCCTGGTCAGGGCTGCCCCCAGCAAGGACCTGCCTCCTCCTCTGGGAAGGGAGCCCAGGGAGCAGAAGCCCCAGGGGGACGCCCCAGAGGAGCACAGTGGTGCTCTCCCCACCCGCCCCCAGTTTGTCTCCACCCCCCAAGAAGCCCCAAGCCCTGCCCTGCCCCACTGGCCTTTCTGCAGCTCAGGATGGTCCATGAATATATACATATACATATAAAATATAAACTTCAAGCTGGCCCCTTCCGTTAGTCTCATTTTTGTGGCACTCCCGTGCGCATGTGCATAATTAAAATTGTTTTCCTCCTGCTCGTGTCTTACATCAATTCAATTTGCAAACCGGCAAAGAACCTACAAGAGTAGAAGGAAGCAGTCCCCACCCTACCGAAGCATCACCCCGCACTGTCCTCTGCGCAGATGGGCGTGGCCCCGAGCGGACAGGCCTCCCTGCACGGCCACTCGCCAGCCTCTCAGAGCCCGAGATGCCACAGGCCAGCCTGGGGCAGGTAGGGGACAAAGGTGGGGTGGGGCGCCGGCTGGTACAAAAGCTGGAGGCCAGAGCAACCCCCCTCCAGAGGAGGGAAAGGCCCCTATAATTGAACCAAACACTCCCTGAAGCCGCGGGTGCGTGCTCTGGCGGGAAACCTGCCACTTAGGGTCTGGCAGGAGACCCCAGCTGGGGGCTGCCCCGGCCCAGATGCCACATGGGGTTTCTTCCTTGCCTGGGGTCAGGCTGACATTTGCTCAGCCTGGCGGGTCAGCGGGGGAGGAAGCCCGCTGCCCGGCAGCCTCCGCCAGCAAGGCTGGGGGCTCTGCTCTGTGGGGAAGGGGGCCTGGGGGGGCCCCTGAGCTGGAGCTGGAGGCCTGGGTCCCGCCTGGCTCTGTCACAGGCCTGCGGGGACCCTGGGCCTTAGGTCTGAGGTCCCCAGGCAGAGCTAGCAGATCACTGGTCTGCGACCCCCATGGCTTCCTGGCAGCAGCCTGTGTCCAAGGGGGCAGCATGGCCCAGCCTGACCTCTGCGTGGTGGGCTCAGCTCCCCCTCCCTGCCACACTGCCCTCCTTCCACCTGTCACCATGACAGCGGCATCCTCAGGTCACGGCAGGGCTGAGGCCACCAGGACCCCTCGCTCACAGCTCGCAGACAGGAAGTCCTCCAGGAAGCCGCCTCCTCCTGCCACACGCAGAGCCTGAGGCTGACCCAGACCCAGCGCGGCTGACAGGGTGCGGGCTCGGTCCCGGTCTGAAGGGACTGGCCGACACGCAGGTGCCACATGAGGTGCCGGAGCACACGGGCAGGAGGAGGAAGGCTCAGGCCAGGCCAGGTCCTGCCTCTCGGTGCCAAACGCCACTGCCAGGACGGGCCCCGCCCCCACGCCAGCCCCCTGCTCGGGCTGGGCCGTCTCCTCCTCCAGCCTCATCGTTCATTTCTTCTCTCTTCACATTTTCAATGATTAATGGTGCTACTTCCGTAACAAAAAACCTCTAACTGAAATTCTCATTTACTATGTAAAACGTGTCCTCGTCGATACATCAAAAATCCAAAACCCACTCATACCCTGCGAAAGCATGTTGTGTGTAACATGACACTGTGCTCTCGGCTGCAGAGAGGGGAGAGGAAGGAACCAAACCTCCAGGAGCGTTGCGAGGACGTGATCCTGTTCAAATCCCACCTCAGTGTGCCTGGTCGGGAAATGGGCCGGCACGTCTAGCCCCAGGGTATATGCGGGGGTGCAGCACGGCCACTCAGGGACTCCACCTCTCGAAGCCACTCTGCTAAGTCGTCTAGAGACGCACCAAATTCTGTGAGGAGTGCACCCTGGCGCTGTACGGCACCACACGCGCCACCACGCGCTCGTCCTGCGGCCAGGCAGACATCACTAATCGACCGCAGCACTCAGATCTCCGAAGTCCAGGCAGCCTTCCTTGACGCGGGCTCCGCGCCCCAGACCTGGCACGTGGACGGGGCCCACCTGCCCTGCCAGGCGCGCGGGGCCAATGGCAGCCAAGGGGCGAAGGCTTTGGAGCTGGGCCCGCCCCGCTCCGCGTGGCCCGCTCTGCTGTCCTCGCCCGAGAGGTGGAGATCACAGTCCCTCCCGCAGGTGCCTCTCGCGGGCTGCTGCACCGTGGCTGAGACAGAGAATCGTCGCCGCTACTTATTTCCAGAGTCGACCTCACCCGGCCACGCTGCGGCCCGATGCCTCGCCAGAGCCCGGGAGCCCCACGCGCCGACTATCTCAGCATCTCGTTTCCTGACAGGAACTTGGTGCCCACTAACACAAGACACGACGGTAATTTCTAAATGTTTGTTTTTTTTCCTAAAGACCTGACCTGCACGTAGGATGTTCCTGGGTTTCCCTTCCCACGTCTTGCTCAGCCCTCGACAGCCCCTCCACCTGCAGCCCCGACGGGGACGGGGCAGGAACGTTAAAGCAGGAGAATTACGCTGCTGTCCATGAAATCTTCACTACTCCTATTCCAACATCCCTGTTTGGGGCCACAAATCCCCCGGGAACCGAGCTGCAAATCCGATCAATTTACGCTGCGAGGAGCGGAGGGGGCACCTGTGGGGACCTGGGGGCCTCAGAGCCCCGCTGCCGGGGCTGCTCCGAGATGGGGCAGGAACGCGGCGGGTGGGCTCGCCAGGCCCCCATCTCCTCTCTTTCCGCCCCGTCCACAGACCCTGCACCTGCTCTGCCCTCTGCCTCAGCCCTGCCCTCCCCCACTCCCCGGGCCCTGCCATCCTTCAAGGCGCAAGTCAAGCCCCGCCACGTGTGGGACGACTCGCCACTGTCCCAGCCTGGCACAGCGCCTGGCACTAGGAGGGCACGGTGGGCGGACGGGTGGACAGAAGTTGGGTGCCAGGGGCTGGATCGTGGGTGCGTGGATGGACGGGTGTCTGAGAGGGCGGGCGGGTGGGAGGGCGGCTGGATTTGGGGGTTGACAGGTGGCTGCGTGGATGGATGGAGAACGCGTGGGTGGGGGCGGCGGCTGGATCACGGGTGTACGGATGGGTGGACAGGTGGATGGACGTCAGATAGTCTCCAACCGCTTCCTCCCGAAACGACGGCACACGGCAGCCCCAAATTAGACACGAGGACGCATTCCCAGGGAGAGCTCACGAGAATCACACAGGGGATTCGAGTCACCCCCAGCAGCGACTTTGTAGACTGACTCTGACCTCACGGTGGGGAGACACCTTTGCACGGAGTCTGAGCAGCTTCTGCGGCCACGTCCCAGCTGTGACTAGAGCCCGGTAGCAAGCGAGGCCGGCCGGGACTCTGTGGTCACCTGGCAATATCCCGTCTTCAGGCACCGGCTGATGTTCCATCCCGCACAATCCTCAATTTCCCCTTCCCAGGCTCACAGGACATCCGGACACCGCGCTGTGGGGTCCACCTGCTTGTCAGGAGGGGACAGAAGCAAGGGAGGCCAAACTGCGCAGTGCAGACAGTCCCACGGTCATCCCAGAGCCGGGCGCGGGCTGTGTGCCCCTCATCCCGCAGAACCTTCCTGCGTGTGCGGCTCCTTGTGTGGCTTCTGGGAAGCCGCTTCCCCTGCACCTCAAGGGCCCAGCGCGGACGTGCGCACAGGAAGAGGAGAAGCGCTGAGTGCCAAGTGCAGAACAATTCCCGGCTGAGCCCGCGCCTGGCGGCAGCGCCCTCAAAGCAATCTGTGTGCTCCCCAGCTTCCTTCCCCCCAGCACCTCCCCCGGTGAGCCCAGCTCTGGGCGGCCCAGTCACAGCCCAGTGCAGGGCCACAGGAGGAAGACCTGACACCAGGACACCCGACGCGGGTGCCTGCACCCAAACCCCGAAGCAAGAACCAAGGAGGCACAATCCCAACATCCGAATGTCCCCAGTCTCCTCCCTTCCTCGGGTGTTCACTGAGCACCTGCTCGGAGCTGGCCCTGGGCCGCGTCTGCACTGGTCCGGGAGACAGAGCAGCTCGGATCCAGCTGAGTCAGGAGAGTCAGGCACGGCCTCTGCACAGGGCCCACGTGTGCCACCGTGCCTGCCCGGGCACGGGGACAGGCCCCCGTGACCTGGACAAGGCACCCACCAGACGCCCCAGGGGTCCCCGAGCCCAGGCCCAACCTGGCCGGACCCCGGACCTCAGTGTGACGGCGGGCGGCTTGGGCTTGCTGGTTGGGAAGGCACCGCAGAGCCAGCAGCCAGATTTGGTTTTTAAGACAAAGACCAAAGTAGCCAAAGAGAGGACCCTAAACACAGCCGCCTCCTTCCAAGGCAGGGTCGGGTGTCCGGGTTCTAGGGGGAGAACCAGGTGGCTTCACCGCTGGCTGTGCTTCCGTGACAGCTGTGGGTCCTCGAATGTGGGGTTTGACGGGAACCATGGTCCTCTTGTCGGCCCCCAGCTAAGATTTCACGCGACAGCAGCTACTGGGAGGGAACCCTGGGCCACCTGAGCTATGCCCCCCCAATTCTTTCCACACACTTCAAAACCAGCTCAGGGTGCGGCACCGGGCCTGTGCACCCCCACCTGGCGGCGCCTGCCCTGCACTGTTCAGTCTGACCCAGCCCCCCACCGCGCACGGCTACGTGGCCGCTCCCGGGCCTGCCTTCCTGGGGGTTCCTCCCCCGC